TACATACAACAATTTTTTAAAAAGATAATGTAAATAAAAAATTTTTTAAAGAAAACTCTATCGCGTAATAAAAGCTTATGACAGGAAATCATGAATACCCCTATAAAAATTTTCTAAAATTAATCCCGACTTTTTCGAGATTATCGTTCCATTATCGTTTCGGAAAATGCTCATTTTCAGAACAAACCAGTCATTTCTATAGAATCCCGATTCGGTTTCTAATCTTTTTGTATGTACTTCATTATAATTAGAAACCGAATCTTATCAGTATTTGATTTTTATCCGGAATTTATTAGAAATGACCAGGAATTGATATATGATTTGTTCCGAAAAAAATGTGCATTATTCGGAATGATAATGGATTTAGGATACACATTTTAAAACTTAATATAATAAACCATCAAAATCTTGAATTCTAAGGCTCTTGACTTTTCGAGATAACGATTATTCAGGAATTTTGATTTTAAGTTTTTTGAACTGCCAGAGTCAGTCTCTGCTGGTGAATTGTAAAATACCTAATTAATAATCTCAAACAAATTTTTGCTCCGTACCATAGGCATGGGTTATGTGGTAGCTATTAAATATTATGCATATTTTGAAAAATTGAAGTTTCTAAATTGAGCTATTTAATTTAGAGTGGTCGCTTTAAATGACATAACTGTTCGACACTGCGCAATATTAAAAATATGATTTTGACCACAGTTACTACGTCATCTTGACACAATATCACATGATCACGAGGTTTCAGCAACCTCTAAAAACGGCAGCAAATTAAACAAAATTGCATAAAAGCCTTAAAATTATGATCTTAATCTCAGATTTCTAGCATCAAATAACCGATATACAACAGTCAACACACGATAATCCGAAGCTTCTGAATTATTTGAAAAAATTCCGATGATCGAAAATTCGGATAAAGCATATTTAACCGTGTTGTATAAATTAAAAATACATGGATATCCGAATTTTTGATCATCCGAAGGTTTACATAAATTTGGATAAAACTTCGGATGATCAAAAATTCGGATGTCCATGATATATAAATTCTAATACATGGTTATTCGAAGTTTTGCTGCGGAAATTCGGATTATCGAAATTCGGATCGGATCATTGTAATCTGAAGTAAGAGTTAATCTAAAGCATGAAATTGCCAGCATTGAAGATTAAACCATTTTTCTAATACACATCACTTTTAATTCCACAGGTGGGATAAATGAACAGCAATATTTTTCCAATAGCATTAACGGTGAAGTGATACAAAGCATAAGATTTGAAGGGGTGCAAATCATAAGTTATCTTTTTTGAATAAATTTTTTAATTTACGTCATCCTGGACATTTGTTAAACGTAAATTTTTAAATGGAATTTCAATTTATTTAATTTCAGATAACGAAATGCATATTTTTAAACTGTATCCGGTGAAAAACCTGAATGGCGCGAATTACCTATCATAAAAATTGGTTCCATACAATATAATTAAAAAAAGTGTTGACATGAGGTTCAAATTGTATTAAAACTCAGCCAGATATTGATTTTATCTTACTAAATCTTTACTAAATCAGAATCAATTAATCAAACAAGTTAAGCTTGCAGTTTTTTAATTACAATTTGCAGTTTCTTTTATTCGCACGGTTATTTTCGGACAACTTTTCCGATAACGCCCACTAGTGTAACATCGTACATTGCGGATAAATGCAACAAACAACGTCGGATAATACAAACACACAACCAGCTGATTGACAATAATAGAATACACAGGGATTATCATTTAATTGAGTAATGTAATTGTTAATTGAAAAATATGATAAATAGTACGTTAATGTTAATCATTCGTAAGATGCGATCACTTAAACTAGGTAACGATTATGCTATGAATGCCATTTATTTGCCTAATTTACTTTCTACATTATGCCATGTGGAGATATTTAATAAATTTTATGTTAATAAAGATTCTATATGTTTAAATTTTAATATGAAAGTTGTGAAAGGATTTTAATAAATCTTTCGGACTATAGAAATTGTACTGTACGATACAGGTAGGTAATTTTGTATGTTACAATTAAATTTGATTGGCTAGTTTATGTAGCTAATAGGATAAGGGTGGGTTAGGCATACAGAATTACTAGTCAACTATACAGTATAAAAAATTCCCGATCATCTAGTTTACGAATTAGGAATGTTGCTTCTCAGAATTTATTTATCGATGTTTTTTGTTTTTTTTAATGACAATGGGCGTTATTAGTTTGAATAAGAAATTTGTGGAATAAGTCTAAATTGCAAATTTTTTTATTTAATAACTCAATATATAAACTACGCAGCTATAATTTTATTATTGTTTTTTTTATATAGAAATTATCATTCAATAACTGTAATTTTATTATTTTTATATGAATAAAAAGCTTTGTAAATGATGTCCTTTGAAATTTGGCTTTTAATTTTACACTTAATGTTATAAAATGCCAGTAGATTAAATAAACATTTTATTATATTTTATTATATTAAAATCTTTATATTTTTTGAAAAGATCAAATTAAATTAAAAAATATATATGTATATATAAAGTAAATTGATATTAAAAGCACCCAAGTACGTAAAAAATTTAATCTGATATTCAAACTTCATTGTTCAAAATTTAGCTCACATTTAGACCTGTAAAATATACCATTATATGTAATATAAATTATTAGCATAGAAATTATGTCATTCCGATGGTAAACAAATAATTGAATTCCGACTTGTAATTGTACCCGCCATTAAACGGCATAGATAAATATTATAAAAGAATAAAGAATGCAAATTTTTCGTTAGCTTTTTTTTCACATTTTATTCTTTTGACAAATTAATTTAGTATGAAAATAAGTCGTGCTCGAAGAGCTTGCGATATTTGCCGCCGACGGCATAAAAGATGTACCCATACATGCAATGGATCTTCCGCAGTTGCTATAAGGAGTAAGTATATTTTTCTGAATCGTTAATTTGACAAAACATGAGAGCTGATATTGATACGTAACAAGGAGGAACTGATATTAAATAATTTAGAAAAAATGTTGACTTTTGTGTGTAGATATGCATGATTTATGCACATAACCTTCACTTCTTTATAACAATAAAGTTTATATAATAATCAAAATTTGTCTAGAATTCATAATCATACTGTTTATTTTCCGAAACAGGAAGTCTAAATTCATCACGAGGTAATAAAGAAAATTTATTTTTATTCGATAAAATACTGTATACGTAAATACATATTTATATTTACTATACGTTTTTAGCAAGGAATATATGTGCTCCTGCTACAGTTTGTAGTGCCAACGCTACGCTAGTTGGTAATGTTCCCACTACACTAGTTAATGATGCCTCCGTTACATTAGTTGGTGGTGCTTCCGTTACTTTAATTGGTGATGTCCTTGCTGCATCAACTGATAGTGCCTTCACTACAGCACCTCCTACGTTAGTTAATAATACACCAGATACATCAGTTGGTCCATCGCTTAATTTCCCTGCTGCACCAACTAGTTTCCCATTTACATTAGCTAATAACGTCCATGATACATGGGCTGATGGTACTCTTACTACATCGGTTGGTGACGCTCTTAACACATCAATCGGTGGTGCTCTTACCACGTCAATTGGTGGTGCTTCTACTATGGCATTTCAATAAAGAAATGCAAATATATCTGAAGGTAATTAATCGTGCAACTTTTCATGTTACATACAGTAAAACTTGGCAGTTATTAAAACATATATATGATTTGCTTTGGTTTCATAAAGATATAAGGTTTAAAACAGGCCTTTTAAAACTACATATAAATTTTTTGTTTAAAAAGAAAATCTACTGATTATATATATTTGTATATTCAAATTTGAGAATTTAATTTGTGAAACAAACTTTCTTTATGTATTCACTATAAATGTAGGAAATAATCCGAATAATCAATTATTGGCGCCTCTAGATTTGCTACAATTTCGTGCAATGAGATCGAGTGGTAATAAAAAAAAAAAATGTTTAATTTCTGTGGCTGAATAACAGCACGCAACTTTTTTTTTTTATTCATGAAAAATTGTATATATATAGGTCCGCAACATCAAGAAATTGCAATCGTTGCTTCTCAGAGAAACTTTCAGGGTCTAACATCCGTACCTACTTCAGCATTAAATCAAGAATATCAACAGTGGAGTTGCTGGGAAGAAAGAAATGGCCAACAACATTGGAACAGTCAACGTGGTAATGGCAAATATAATTGAGTCATTCACATAACATTGCTTAAAATTTCTACTAAAAATAACCTGAGATTATATATTTAATTTATATTCAGAAACAGATATCGCAGAAGAAATTAGATTTACAGGTATTAAAGAAAAAAACTTTCATAATTTTTTTATTTTATGCATCATCCGAAGTAATCGTTTTCTATTTGCTAATAAAATTTTTGTCAACATAGAGTTTCATGGTCACAATATGATCCCGTTTCCGTTTCAAACTGTAACAAGTTCTGATGCCGTGAATTCAAATCTGCTACAAAGTACATATACTGCTTCAAGGGAAAGCATTTTATGAACATCAGGTATACTGAATTAATTCTAAAATTTTCTGATATAAACATAGATTATCAACATGCAAATAGTTCGTATCCACCGCCTATTGAACCAGATGGTAGGTATATAAATTTACATTTTCCTTAAATTTAAAGATGTCAACTATTATCAATTGAATTAACGTCAAACGAACTGTTAAAAAGTGTATCTAAAATGATTTTTCGTTCTTTCATTTTAATGTAAATATAGTTCAATATGATAGTTCACACTTGACATATACCTCAGCTGTATATAATTCAATGCCACAAAATAGCCATCCAAGTGGAGAATATAATTTTGCACGCTATTAAACAAATTCTCCTATTTAAGCGGGCCAACTAAGATAGTGAGTCACATTATTCTAAATTTTTGTGCCACTTAAATTAATTTTTACAACGTGAACGATAGCATAAATTATTTATTTTGAAATAACTAACATGTTTGCTTATTTTTAAACACATATACAGAATGACCCAAAATTCTGGATCAGAATATATCGAAATCTAGGTTACATTAATAAAATTTATCCAAGATCTCAATGAAGTTATTGCCACTGTCACGTTCCTCCGTGACCATTATTAATACCTTTCTTTATATTCATTATCCACCGTTTCTTCATGTTATTTCTTTCTATATTAATAATCATTTACCGCTTCTTTATATGCTATTTCTTTGTGTTTTATTTGTTATTCATCACTGATTTTGCATACTACGAATAAATTTTGATATTGCGCAGAACGTGTTAGATGGGATAGCCACAAAATTACTTATGTTTTGTATTTATAATATTTACGTATAAAGGATTAATGTGATATTATTAATCACGTAGTTCAGGACGTCTTGCAATATCGCTAGCGAAACCCACGCTAAAGATTGCAGATTAAACTGAAATCAGATCAAAACAAAAACTTGACTTATTTTAATTAGAATTTATGGAGTTTTGGTTAGAATTTAGAGTTAGAATAGTAATAAAAGAGTATATGCGAGTCTTGAGGTTTCATGCAGAAACTAGAATTTTCATTTTAATCTGATTTACGAC